TATCATTATATAATAACTTCTACCTTTATCATTATATAATGACCATCTTTGTTTCTTTTTACCATTTTAGTTTATAGCTTATTTTGTCTGATATAAAGATAGCTACCCCTGATATTTTGTGGTTATCATTTGCTTGAAATTTCCATCCCTTCACTCTCTAAGGCTAAAGTGAGTCTCTTAGAGGCAGCATATTATTGGGTGTTTTATTCATCCATTGAGCCAGTCTATGTCTCTAATTGGATAATTTAATCCATTTATATTTAAAGTCATTACTGATAGGTGAGGCTTTCTGGTTATTTTGTAGATCAGTTGTTCCTTGTTTCTTCTCCTGCTGTCCTTTTTTGTGTTTTGATGTTTTTTGGTATCATTATGCTTAGACTTCCTTATCATATTCTTTTGTGTAATTATTACAGAATTTCCCCCTTGTGGTTACTATTAGGCTTACATAAAATATCTTAAAATTACAACATCCTATTTTAAAGAGACAACAAAATAACTTCAGTAAAATTGGTAAACTACACTTCTACTTCTCCCTGCACATTTTTAATAGTGTGTAACTAATAACAGATTATTGTATTTATGGTTATTTTTTACCATTCTCTTTTGAACTTTCAGAGTTATGAGTTATGCACCACTATTACTACATTGCAGAATTGAATTACGACTACATATTTACCTTTACCAGTGAGATTGATGTACCTTTTTATGGTTCTATACTGTTAATTATCATTCTTTTCCTTTCACTCCAAGGACTGTCATTAGCATTTCTTATAAGGTGGGTCTGGTGATAATGAATTCCCTCAGCTTTTGTTTGTTCAGGGAAGTCTTTATCCCACCTTCATTTCTGAAAGACAGCTTCATCAGGTATAGAATTTTCAGTTGACAATTATTCTCTTCCAATATTTTGAATATATCATCCCATTCCTTCCTGACCTGAGAAGTTTCTTTTGAGAAATCTGTTACTAGTCTTGTGGGAGTTTCCTTATATGTAACTTCTCTCTTTTCTCTTGCTGCTCTAAAAATTCTTTCTTTGTCATTGACTTTTAACAATTTAATTACAGTATGTCTCAGTACAGCCCTATTCAGGCTCCACCTTTTTGGGATCTCTTGGGCTTTATGGACCCAGATGCCCATTTCTGTCCCCAGACTTGAGAAGTTTTCAGCCTTTGTTGCTTTAAATATGTTTTCTGACCCTTTCCCATTCTCTTCTCCTTCTGGAATTATCATTATGTGAATATTGTTTCTTTTCATTGTGTCTTATAGTTCTCATAGACTTTCTTCATTGATTTTTCATTCTTTTTTCTTTTTGCTCCTCCAACTGGGTAATTTAAATGTCCTATCCTCTAGGTCACTGATTCTTTCTTCTCATGGTTGAGTCTACTTTTGAAGTTCTTACTGAATTCTTCAATTTCAGTATTGTATTTTTCAACTCTGGGATTTATGCTTTGTTTTGTTTTGTTTTGATGGTTCCTGTTTCCTTGTTGAGATTCTCATTTTGTTCATGCTTTGTTTTCCTAATTTCATTTGATTGTCTGTGTTTTCTTGTAGTTCACTAAACTTCCTTCAGAAGATTATTCTCAATTCTTGGCCTGAGGGTTCATAGATTTTCATTTCTTTAGGGTCAGTTATTGGAGCTCTATTAGTTTTCTTTGGTGGTGTCATATTTACCTGATTTTCATGATCCTTGATTCCTTACATTGGTATCTGTGCAGTTCAGTAAATGGGGCTCCTCTTCCCGACTTTACAGGTTTTCTTTGACAGAGATAGTTCTTCACCAGACAGCTCAGTCTGCATTTCTGGGTGTGTCTTCTGGTAATGTCCTTGGGGGAGTGGGGCTTGCTGTTATTATCTATTTTTTGGTCAAGGGAACTGTTTGAGTGTTGAGGATGGAGTTGGGGGAAAAGGGCTTGCCCCTGGTTGGGAACAGTGGTTATGCCTGATGGTTTGGTTCTCTACCTAAGTGAGGCTGTAGGATGGGATCTTCAGGTGCCTGGATTCTCTGGTCAGACTAGCTGGATGGAGAAGACTGGGTACTATATTCATTAGTAAATGGGGCTATGAATTAGCTTCCCCTCCCTGGCAGGGCAAGAAGATATGACCCAGCCCCTGTACAGGGTCCCCTTGGGGCAAGACAGAATAAGGGATCCCACAGCACAACCCACAATGCTTGGGGGTCCTGGTTGTCCCCCCAGAGTTTCCTTTCCCACTGGAGGAACTGAGGCTCAGGGAGACTTCTCCACATGTGGCCACCTCTCTTACCTTTGTGATGCAGTCTGTCTCATCCTCAGAGGCGCAGGATGTGCTCCAGCTTCACCCCTATGTTCTGGGATTCTCTCAGGGGTGTCTTGTTCGTGATTAGTTGTTATTTCATCTTGTGAAAGGGAAACATTTTCTTGTTGTCTTTTCTCTCTGAATTACTTATTATTTCTAGGGCTGTACGCAAAAGCTTGTATAGTAAAGCTTGTATAATTACCAGGCTAACTGAAGGGAGAAATATAATAATAAAAACTACTCAATCTCTTGGAAGAGAGAAGATAAGAGAATGTAGAGCAGTTGCCAAAAAAAAAAATACAGAACATTTCAGGAATGTTCATTTGGGAGTCAATTCCTTAATTTTCTCCCTACCTTTTCTTTTTCCCATGTTGTTTGGAAGGTTTGAAGTTATTCCTGCCTCTGTTCCGCTTCTTACTTAGGTCCAGCACTCACCTCCTGTACATTTGCCTGGGGCAGAACTGTAATTTTGCTTGTAAAACAGTTCTCAAATCTTGTCTCATGGTTAAACCACATTGGTGTGTGACAATTGGGTGAGGGAGAAAGGGACAAACTGACACAGCTGTTTTCAACATAATTTTAAAATTCAGTTACCTGAACAATTGCCTCAGGCTCTGCCCCACTCCCCTGTTATTTAGTTTTTGACACTGAACTTGGACTCTTTGTGCATTTGCTCTTGTTTCTAAAGTCGTTTTCTTCTGGCTAGCTTTGGGGGTAGGGTGATTCTATTCCTTCTTCTCTGTGAGAATAGTTGTTTATACTATTCTCTGTGTTCCCAGTATTCCTGAGAATCACCCATCAGCTAATGATGCCTCTGACCTTTCTGTCATTTCATGCAATGTGGAGTGGGAAAGAAGACTGACACTTCTCTTAGTTGAACATCTCGACCTCTTGTGAAATCACAAAACTCTGTAGCCTTCTGCTTCTGTGGTGCTGCATTTTCCTGCTACCTTCTGTAGCTCTCTTTTTATATTCCTCTGGAAGCTCCAACTTCTGCTAACACTTTGTCATTTCTCAAAGGGTTTGATCTTCTCTGCTGCCACCTGCAACCCTGGGCGACCTCATTCCTCTCTGTATGTGATAATTGCCTGGATTTACCTCCATAGCCATGCTCTTACTCCATAGTTCCCACCAGTTATCCAACTCCTGTCAACCTTATTTGAAGGTCCTGACACAGTTAAAACTAAACAGGCTCAAAATTTTACTATTTGTATCCATAATTCGGTCTCTGTCTACATCTGTTAGTGATAGTCCTATCACTCATTCAGTTCCCTAAACCAAAATCTGTCATCCTTTCGCATTCTCTTCTTATCCTACACGTCTGTGCAACCTCAAAGCACTGCCATTTCTACTTCCTAAGCATCTTTAAACCCACGCACTTCTCTCCTTTGTTTGAATCAGTGGTGGTTCAGGTAACCATCGTCTGTTCCTTAGGTACCTGCAGCTTTGTGAGTCTAACTCTGTGACTTCAGTACTGTTTCCTCCCATTGTCTTTCTTCATGGTAGCCAGGACAATATTTCTGAAATACATTTGTTTTTCGTCTTGCAATTTATAATTCCAGAAGACTCCAGACAGTATAGTTTTCTGGATTAGGCAAAACTGAATTTCAGTCTCACCTACACCAACTCTGTGAACATCTCTGAGCTTCACTTTTCATCTTTGGAAACCAAAGTAGGCATATATCTAAAGCATATGGCCTGACACATAATAAACATCCTATCAGTGTTAAATATAAATATAATTACATTCATTAACTTGAAGATTTTTTAAGTAAATTCCCATTACTCAGGAGAAATTTCAAAGTCCTGAAGGTGATGTAAAACCCTGAATTATATGACCATTCTCAATCTCTGCTCCTGTTCTGTTCTTCAGTGATTCAGAAGCTTTTTCAGTTTCTTGAATGCACCCTGATCTCTCTAGCTCTTCTTCAGGAAGTCTCTGCATATCCAAGGTTGGATTACTTGATCTTGACCCTCCTGTGAATACTCTTAAACACTGTACTTTACCTTGCAGGGACCTGATTATCCTGGGTTATAATTGATATATTTCTTTGTGTGAATGCCTAGTTGTCAATAAGCTCCTTGGGGACAGGCACTGTCTCTATCATGTTTCATAATTTTATCTGTAGCAAGTAACACACTGCTTGGCTCATAGTAATTTCTCTTAAAAAATGTTGAATGAAAGAGATTGAGCATCACTCTGCTTTCCTCCTCCATATAAAGTAAATACTGATTTAATATTACAAATGAAGAATCTTAGGGTCAGAGAAAGAATAAGGTCATGCAATAAATGATCAGAATTGGGTTTGACTTAGGCTCTTTCTATGATGCCAGCTTCCTCTTTGACTTAGAAAAGTGTCACATTAATTATAGCTATGCAATCACCTTGTTGTCATTTTACAGGCATTCATCTCTAGTGTTGGAATTTCATGTAAATAATATATTTAAATTGTGTGTAGAATGGTAACACACAGCTCTCTAGGGAGATGAGGGGAACATGTGAAATTGTAATAAGGGGCTTTTCAAATGATTTTTAAATGCCATTAAATTAGTTTGTTTACATAAAAGCTTTGAGCAGAGTCAGACAGAGTAAATCCTCAATCACTTATATAACAGTAATAACCACTATTATTTTCCTGTAAAAGCCTGTATGAGGCAGTCACTGTGTGTTCAGCAAATTTCATAATGGACTTCCACACCCATATTAGGGACACACAATCAGTGAGCACTTCTGACAGAGAAAAGGAACTAGCTGTGCATCTCAGAAATACTCAGAACTGCCCTTGGGGTTTAGAAAAACTGCCAGGGGAGGAATGCAAACTTACACTGAATGAGATGTGGAACGGGCGCTGGTGATTGTATCGGGACTGAAGGCACGTGCCCAGAATCTCCAGCACTCCTGAGACACACAGCAGCCGTTGCAGGCTTTCAGAAAGGTAGGTTCAGGTCATGCCTTCCGAGGCACTTGGGCTGGGGGCTTTCTCATCCACTGGTTGCAGGATCCCCAGGAGTGGAATGAGAGAGGATGAGGTATTCTCTCTCCCACAGCTCAAGCTGGTATTCTTGGTTGGGATGGGTCAAGCACACCTTTTAATGTATGTTTAGGGGCTGTGGGGAGCAATGTTGCTGCAGAGGATGGGGTAAGGACAGACTCCTGAAGGCTGATGCTGGATGCTGGATGGGGTTGTTCTAGTTGCTTTTTTTCTGTAAGTCTCCAGGGTATCAGGATACTGAAAGCAGTATTTCACACTTTGCCTAATTATTTCATGTACTCTTGATGCCAATTCTTCCATGGTCTTTATTCTCTTTCTCTGAGATGTTATTTTTATAATTCAACATTAAAGGAAAGATCTACCACTTGCAGAATTTGGTGGAGATGTTGTAGAGCACAGGCTGCCACGTCTGTGCATGGCCTGAGGTAGACTGTGGCCTGACCAAGCTCTCTGTCTTTGGAACCGTTCATGAGACATCCAAGGCATATACTGAAGCTGCTCATGAGGAAGTCTACTAATGAAAGAGACTTTGTAGATTCTTCACAGTCTTTGGATCAGAAAAGAATTTGAAGGCACTGTGTCCAATGCATTCTCTTCTTGAATGAGGCAAATGAAACCCAGAGAAGAGAAGTAACTACCCAGAGTCCCGCTGTTCAGTAGAAGAGCTATAGGTGTATAAGCTGGGATCCCTGATGCCCAGCCTGGGTCCCCGTTTTCACATTTCCATTGTCATCTTCCAAGTTCAGGCCTCCTTTTAGGTCTCTATTCTATTTTATAATTTGTCAGAGGAGAGAGAGCCTTTCAGGCCAACCCCGTCATGCTCCCTGCTTGGCAATTCTGACCTTCAATGGGGATGGTGATATGAACATAGGGAAGCAATGGGTTGATGGTGGTACTGATCACAGGAAATTGGAGCCAGCAGAAGAAAGGAGGGGAGTGTCCTAGGTTTCTTCACATCTGTAGCAGGAACAACAGCAACAACGAAGACACTGAGGTTGTCAGTAGCCCAGTGCATGATGTCATAAATGATGCGACAAGCCTAGGGCTCAGTCGTCCCTTATCTGGAAGCAATGTCCCTTGTATCAACTCAACATTCTCTTTTGTTTCAGTTTCCTTGATATTTGAATATAGGGAAGTTGAGCCCTGGAGAGTAAATACAAATGTTTATCCTTGGGGAATTTACTTTCCCTAGGTAATAAACACATGGATTTCTGTGGTATGAACATATAAGGCAGTTATATGAATTTATAGCTAGAGTTCTTTAGAAAGACAGAGCATGAGCCCTGACTGATCGGGATCTGACATATGTCACCACAGAACTATGGAAAAGTCGTAAGAGTCATTTGAAAGTGATATTTTAACATAGTGTCTGCTCTGGGGAAGCTTACAGTCTTATTAAATAAAGAAAGAACTCTCAGGTGTGTTTGATAAGACAGAACCTACATTATCTAAATCCTTAGTCCGAAGGTCTATCTGAGAGATCAATGCAGAGGTTTCTTTGCATTAAAGAGAAGTAAACTAACACATGCATTCAGCTGGACTAAAAGAATCATCAGTAGTGGACTTTTACAACACTTTGGGCCTCTATGATGCAAGGGCGAAATAATATAGGATTTTTTTTCTTTTCTCTTCCAGTTTTATTAAAAAATGACTGACGTACATCACTGTACAAGCTTAAGGCATAGAGCATGATGGTTCGACTTCTATATATTGTGAAACGATCACCACAATTGGCTCAGCTCACATCCATCTTCTCATATAGATACAGTAAAAAGAAAAAGAGGAGGGAAAGGAAATATAGTGAGAGATTGTTTATTCGGGATATTTCATGTTCCTTAATGTAAGCATTTATTGCTATGAATTTCTCTCTTAGAACTGCTTTTGCTGCATCCCACAAGTCCTGGTATGTTGCATTTCCACTTTTCTTTGTCTCAGAAACTTTTTTATTTAGCCTTTAATAACCAGAAGGACTTACCTTTTTATTTTTATTTTTTGATTCACTGGTTGTTCAGGATGGTGTTGTTTAATTTCCACATGTTCATGAATTTTCCAGTTTTCCTTTTGCTATTTGCTTTCTAGTTTCATGCCATTGTTGTCAGAGAAGATACTCCATATGATTTCAATCTTCTTGAATATTGCAAAGATTTGTTCTGTGGCCTAGCATATGGTCTATCCTGGAAAATGTTCCAAGTGTGCTTAAAAATGTTTATTCTGCTGTTGTCAGATAGACAACACCTAAATGTAAGGTTCATTTGGTCTATGGTGTTCAAATCCCCTGTTGCCTTATTGATTCTCTGGATGATCAATCTTTTGTTATAATGGTGATTTGAGTCCCCAACTATTACTGTATTACTGTTCATTTCTCCTTTTAATACTCTCAGTTTTTGCTTTATATATTTAGGTGTTCCAATATTGGTTTTATAAATATTTACAACTGTTATATCTTCTTGATTTATTGAATCATTATCATTATCATTATATAATAACTTCTACCTTTATCATTATATAATGACCATCTTTGTTTCTTTTTACCATTTTAGTTTATAGCTTATTTTGTCTGATATAAAGATAGCTACCCCTGATATTTTGTGGTTATCATTTGCTTGAAATTTCCATCCCTTCACTCTCTAAGGCTAAAGTGAGTCTCTTAGAGGCAGCATATTATTGGGTGTTTTATTCATCCATTGAGCCAGTCTATGTCTCTAATTGGATAATTTAATCCATTTATATTTAAAGTCATTACTGATAGGTGAGGCTTTCTGGTTATTTTGTAGATCAGTTGTTCCTTGTTTCTTCTCCTGCTGTCCTTTTTTGTGTTTTGATGTTTTTTGGTATCATTATGCTTAGACTTCCTTATCATATTCTTTTGTGTAATTATTACAGAATTTCCCCCTTGTGGTTACTATTAGGCTTACATAAAATATCTTAAAATTACAACATCCTATTTTAAAGAGACAACAAAATAACTTCAGTAAAATTGGTAAACTACACTTCTACTTCTCCCTGCACATTTTTAATAGTGTGTAACTAATAACAGATTATTGTATTTATGGTTATTTTTTACCATTCTCTTTTGAACTTTCAGAGTTATGAGTTATGCACCACTATTACTACATTGCAGAATTGAATTACGACTACATATTTACCTTTACCAGTGAGATTGATGTACCTTTTTATGGTTCTATACTGTTAATTATCATTCTTTTCCTTTCACTCCAAGGACTGTCATTAGCATTTCTTATAAGGTGGGTCTGGTGATAATGAATTCCCTCAGCTTTTGTTTGTTCAGGGAAGTCTTTATCCCACCTTCATTTCTGAAAGACAGCTTCATCAGGTATAGAATTTTCAGTTGACAATTATTCTCTTCCAATATTTTGAATATATCATCCCATTCCTTCCTGACCTGAGAAGTTTCTTTTGAGAAATCTGTTACTAGTCTTGTGGGAGTTTCCTTATATGTAACTTCTCTCTTTTCTCTTGCTGCTCTAAAAATTCTTTCTTTGTCATTGACTTTTAACAATTTAATTACAGTATGTCTCAGTACAGCCCTATTCAGGCTCCACCTTTTTGGGATCCGTTGGGCTTTATGGACCCAGATGCCCATTTCTGTCCCCAGACTTGAGAAGTTTTCAGCCTTTGTTGCTTTAAATATGTTTTCTGACCCTTTCCCATTCTCTTCTCCTTCTGGAATTATCATTATGTGAATATTGTTTCTTTTCATTGTGTCTTATAGTTCTCATAGACTTTCTTCATTGATTTTTCATTCTTTTTTCTTTTTGCTCCTCCAACTGGGTAATTTAAATGTCCTATCCTCTAGGTCACTGATTCTTTCTTCTCATGGTTGAGTCTACTTTTGAAGTTCTTACTGAATTCTTCAATTTCAGTATTGTATTTTTCAACTCTGGGATTTATGCTTTGTTTTGTTTTGTTTTGATGGTTCCTGTTTCCTTGTTGAGCTTCTCATTTTGTTCATGCCTTGTTTTCCTAATTTAATTTGATTGTCTGTGTTTTCTTGTAGTTCACTAAACTTCCTTCAGAAGATTATTCTCAATTTTTGGCCTGAGGGTTCATAGATTTTCATTTCTTTAGGGTCAGTTATTGGAGCTCTATTAGTTTTCTTTGGTGGTGTCATATTTACCTGATTTTCATGATCCTTGATTCCTTACATTGGTATCTGTGCAGTTCAGTAAATGGGGCTCCTCTTCCCGACTTTACAGGTTTTCTTTGACAGAGATAGTTCTTCACCAGACAGCTCAGTCTGCATTTCTGGGTGTGTCTTCTGGTAATGTCCTTGGGGGAGTGGGGCTTGCTGTTATTATCTATTTTTTGGTCAAGGGAACTGTTTGAGTGTTGAGGATGGAGTTGGGGGAAAAGGGCTTGCCCCTGGTTGGGAACAGTGGTTATGCCTGATGGTTTGGTTCTCTACCTAAGTGAGGCTGTAGGATGGGATCTTCAGGTGCCTGGATTCTCTGGTCAGACTAGCTGGATGGAGAAGACTGGGTACTATATTCATTAGTAAATGGGGCTATGAATTAGCTTCCCCTCCCTGGCAGGGCAAGAAGATATGACCCAGCCCCTGTACAGGGTCCCCTTGGGGCAAGACAGAATAAGGGATCCCACAGCACAACCCACAATGCTTGGGGGTCCTGGTTGTCCCCCCAGAGTTTCCTTTCCCACTGGAGGAACTGAAGCTCAGGGAGACTTCTCCACATGTGGCCACCTCTCTTACCTTTGTGATGCAGTCTGTCTCATCCTCAGAGGCGCAGGATGTGCTCCAGCTTCACCCCTATGTTCTGGGATTCTCTCAGGGGTGTCTTGTTCATGATTAGTTGTTATTTCATCTTGTGAAAGGGAGCAAAGTCAGGAATGATCTACGTCCCCATCACGGTCACATCCAGCCCCAGGCTAACCGACACTTCTGAAGGCCCTCCTTGCCATCATAG